CCCATGCCCTGCAAGTTCAGACACAACGTCGAAAAGCATGGCCCACTGACCCAGGAGAAACAGGCAAACTGCAAACACACCAGCCTGGGAGGACACCTGCAAACACACGGCTGAAGGACGGCTGTGTCCTGTGTGTGGGTGGGCGAGAGCCTGGCTACTAACGAAAAGGAAGGGGGTCCACTGAGCCCCGCAGCTTCCCGGAGAGCAAGCACCTGGCCACTTGCTTCTGCCGAGGCCCGCTGCCAGCACCCTCCAGGGTGTTTCTAGGCTGTCACAGGGGACGGGGGTGGGGGAGGCGTGGGCAGGAGGAGTGGGAGCTGGTTGAACAGCACCCAACACAACTGCTGGGGACAGATGTCAAGTCTGATCGCCTGAGAGCCATTCTGTAGGCCTGCAGGGTGACGTCTCTATTTGAGGTGACCCCAAGAACAGATCTGAACCCTGTCCTATCCTGGGCCATCCTCACAATCTCCAACACCCTCAAGCCGGTATCAGTCACAGTCAATCCATCTGGATGAAGCCCTCCACCTTCCCAAGCATGAAGTCCTTCTCCAAGGAGTAATCTCTCTTAGCAACCGGCCTGAAGTGCCCCCACCCTGCCTCCAGGGAGCGCTCTGGCTGCGCTTTCTCCAAGGTCTAGCTGTTCGTTCTTTGGCTGTCCATGATGTTCAAAGGCTCCAGTTCTCGTCGTCCTGTTTCACTGTCCAGCTTTCAGATGCAGAGCAAGTGATCTGAAAGGCCCTGGCCTGAACTGTTAGGTGCCGTCGAGTACGACTCATGGCATAGTAACGCTATGAAGCCTTGTCCTGCACCACCCCAGTCCCTGACACACACAGCCCGCTGCAGCACTCACGGTCAGCCCACCTGGCCCGATTTATGCACGTCTGAGTCCTGACTGGCAGGCTGCTCCTCCATACTTTGGAGAGGTCTCTGACTGCGGGCTTTCCCAGTGCAGTTAGTCTCCTGACCGCTGGTACCAAGAGCACCGAGTACGGATCCAAGTGTGACGACGCTGTGGACAGTCTATACTCTATCACCATGTTACCTACTGGTCCAGTGGTGAGGATTTTGTTTTCTTGGCATTGCTTTGAAGGCCTTGCTGTTGTTAAGTGCCACCGAGTGGCCTGCAATTTATGGTGACCTGTGTACAACAGCTCTGAAGCCAGCTCCATCCTGAGCCAGCCTCACCGTCTCTGACACAACCACCCCCACTGCCCCAGTCACCGATTCAACCCACCAGTCACTGAGGGTCTTCCTGTCTTGTGCTTAGCTGGGGTAGACTACCATTTTCACACATCTTTCTCTCCCCTTCCGCCCTGTGGACATGAGAAGGTGGTACTCCCAGCAACCCTTGCATGTGGCCAAGGCTGCAGGAGGAATCTGAGTCTGTAGGCCGTCCTGGGGGAGGGGTCAAGAGTGGGTGCTCAACACACCCTACTGTCCCCACCCTGCGGCAGCAGCAGTCTTGTACCACCTGCAGTGCCGAGGGGCATGGCGGCAGGGCCCTGGGGCTGGGCCCAGAGCCCCTCTCTGGCTGTTCACCGTGGCCTCCGCTGCCCAGCCCACTGACCCTGACCGGCTGGAGAGGGGGCACCTCACACGGCTGCCCTGCTGGTGGCTCCTGCCCTGAGGCCCATGTTCAGGTCAGCTCAGCACCACATTGACACGCCGAGTGGCCGGTCGTGCCCAGTCCCTCCTGTTGCCTCACCTCCGGCCATGAGGAGCTGCTGGCCACTGGACCCCCTTCGTCCCAGGTGTGAAATCTGTTTCTGAAGAGAGCACTGGAGGCTCCCCAACAGCACTGGGGATTCCCGGGCACCTGGCGTCAGAGAAAGCCCTGCATGCGGTGTTGTTGGTGTCACTGACGTGGTGCCGGCTCACGGCAGCAGTGCCAGCTGGTCCTGAAGGTTCGCAGGCTGCATCACCTCCCTGGGGGGCTGCCTCCTGTCCCCAGACCCTCAGCCTGCCATCCGACGCTCTTCTCCAGGGCCAGGGCCTCGTGGTAACACGCTCACAGAACATAAAAGCAAAGCAAAAGCCCTGTTGTCGATTCTGACCTGACCCTCTGTGAGGTTCCCAGGCTGCAGTCCGTACCAGAGACGGCCAACTTCTCCCACAGAGCACCCGGTGGATTGGAACTGCTGACCTATTTCCCAGGCAGCTGTCCAGCAAGGACCACAGGACACTTCCAGGGTCCTTCCTGGACAGTGTAACCTGAGTCACGCCACACTCAGTGAACACTGCGGTGTGCTCCCTCAGTGAGCAGGAGAGGACACTCGAGACCTGGGTCTTCTCTGGAAAGGTCCACATGACATCCAGGAAGCAGCTCACCCGGACTTGTCCAGTTCTCTGCTATCCGAGGAGGTCTGTCTTCCAGTCTGCCCAGACCCCAAGTTCACACCTAGATCCAACAAACCTTGCTGTGAGCTAGGGCCGACGTCAGCATTTTTCACCTTTGCTTTTGTGTTTTTTAAAAAGGGATACAAGCTAACTACAAGCGTATTTAAGAGAAATGATAATGAACTTAAAATGTTTAAAACCTGACCGAGCAATACCACAAACATCACAAAATGTAGGAAAGTAAATGACACTTTTAGAACTACAAGATTTCTGCTTTTTCCCACACTGCCTTTACTATGTTGAAGAGAAATCACAGGACAGTGATTTTGGCCTCATTCTCTCATTGCTTTCAAGGCAGAAGCAGCTGAGCCTCCAGCCGGTTTTCAACTCATGGGAGGAGGAGACTGTCCAGCTTTCTCACTGAGCAGCTGTGGATTCGAACTGTGCACCTTTGGGTTGGCAGTGCGGCTCCTTACCACAAGACCACCAGAGCTTCCTGGGTGTGGATGAGTGTGAGAAAAAACTGAATCTGCTAAGGGAACTAAGCCAGTTCAGGGGTCACAAGCCTGATGACCACCAGCCCATGTATATGAGCAGCCAGGAGCTGCATTCACCCCGAGGGTAAAGGTCAATCCAAGGGGCCAGGCTGAGCACAGAGCAAACAAGCTGAGCAAGGTGATCGTGTCACCTGAGACCAGTGGTCCCTGTGGCGACACAGCTCAGTGCAGGGGCTCTAGGCCGGGGCCTGAGACAGGACAGGTGAGGAGCACCTGGCAGAGGGGAGATGGGCAGGGACCTGGCCAGGGAGGACAGGAGCAAGGGCGACACCCGGATGGTCCCCCGGCCACAGAGGCCGGGAACACAGGCAGAGGTCAGCTGGCAAGCTGAGCGTTATTCACCGAGTGTGGAGGGAACATGGAAGACTGGAGCACAGAACGCCCCACCTTCACGCCCAGAAACGCTCTTCGCAGGATTCACGCTTCATACTAACCTTCCTGAGGAAGAGAAAATCAAACTGTACTCGAGCCTCCTGTTCCTGTGTGCCTGCGGCGGCCAGGCTGACCACATCTGGTCAGAGCACACACTCTGGGCCCTCTTCCCAGTGAAGTCCTGGTCAGCCCAGGGACAGTGCCCCCCACCCTACAAGGTGATCTAAAGTCAGGCTCTCTGGTAACAGGAAAACACTGAGTTTCAATGTGACTATTCAGAGGTGTCCCCCCAAACAAAGCCACATCCTGCTTCAAATCATGTCCCAGGTACCTGCCCCCATGCAGGAGCATCACATCCACGCCGCCGAGCCCCCGCTGCTGCCCCGGCTGTGGACAAGGGGAGCTGGGGCAGACGGCAGGGGACCCCTCGGTGCTCAGGCCACAGGGGAAACACAGCTGAGACGGCACCTCCCAAAGGGGCACCGGCTGGACTGCCGCCTACTTCCTCCTGTCACTTAGAGCTGCTTCTCTCACATTTAAAAGGAAGAGAAAAACCAGACTGGACCGTTTATAGCTTTTAATCATCTTGTTTTTATTTCTCTGTAATTTTAGCACCCAACAAATATTTTTCACAATACTTGGGCTCAGAAATATGCAACTGGTGTTCTGAAAACTATGCCATCCACTCACCTACCAGGACCCAGTGACTGAGCCCATGGGGAACCCAAAGCCCTAAGAGGACAGCACCGAGCTTGATGGAGGCCCTGCCCCTCTTGTTTGGGGTCCCGGGGGCAGGCCCCCACGTCTGTGTTCCTCAGGGCAGTAGGTGGCTTCGCTCCAGTGACTTCACCAGTGCGCTATCAAGATCTGTGTCTGGCCACGTACCCGTCACACCCATGTCATCTGCACACGAGTTCACTGTCACCGCGGCAGCAGCAGAAGGTCAGCCTGTGGCTGGCCAGGAACCTCAGAAGGGATCACAGCCTGACCGTGTCCAGTATGGGGAGCTCGTGCACCAGGCGGCCTCAGGCCACCCTGAGTCACACTCTGACCAGGGCGTGCCAGTGTCATCTGACGGAGCTCCTGGGCCCCAGGGGTCCAGAGGTGATTGGAACTGAAGATTCCTGAAGCATCTTTACAGAGAATAAATTATAACAACAAGGGAACCTGTGAGCAAGCACCTCACATGAACACAGGGACCAAGAGCAAGTCCCAATCCTAGTCAGCACTGGTGATTACAAACCACGGCTACACCTAGCAGCACAGAGTCCCGTACTAGGCCTGTACGGGTCAGGGTCTAGAACCTTCCACCACAGCAGACACTGAAGTCTAGCCTCCAGCGTCCGCACCGCGGCGTCTCCCCTTGGAGGCCGGAACGCACTGCTCGGGCATCTCCGTGAGATCAGCCACACACGTGTGAGAGAACAGGTTTTATTCATCAGCTCATCACACCCGCTGTCTTTGGAGCTGGCGCCGTGACGCCTGGGCTGGAGCTCGGCCGGACAATCGTTTGTACAGACAACTGTCACTAAATCAGAGGAAGGTGGCAGAGGCCCCCTCCCAGGCTCAGATACAAGCGTTCCGTTACCCAAAGTTCATTCCTAAGATACCTGCAGTCTTCTAAACACAAGGCACCGACAGAGGCAGACCTTCCAGCCGAATGTCTGAGAGAAGAGTGGCTGACCAGAGGTCCCGCCCCTCCTCCACAGTGGCCGGACTCTGTGGCCGCATCTACGCCACGTCTTCCAGGTAATCGGCCACACTGCTGAGCTGGGAGACAGACAGGTCTTGGGTGAGGTCGTCAAGCTGGAAGTTCAAGAGAAAAGAGTCAGGGTCACATGTGAGATGTCCTCCAAGATCAGAAAAAGACATCATACTGGCACCTGAACGCAGCTTCACCCAGTGCCCACTGGTTCAAAAGTGCCCTCAAGACGAGGACCAGTGGCCCCCAAGTCCCAAGCCAGTGCCTGAGGCCCAGTCCCATGTGCCCTTCTAGGAGAGGGGAGGAGGAGAGGGGAGCGAGGACAGTGACCCCACATTCCGTGCCTGGAGCCAGGGCTGTCCCGCGTGGCCCCGGAGAGGGGAGGAGAGGGGAGGAGAGGGGAGCAGGAGCTGCAGAGTGCCCCCTGCGGCAGTCCCAGCAAACGGCACCCCCTGGGGTCCTCCCGAGCATGCGCTCCTCCGACTCTGAAGTGCTACCGCCTGTCCTTGGGAGCAGGGCAGAAACATCAACTTAAAACACGGCACCCAGCCAGGGGCCACTGTGAGGACCTGACCCACGCAGCCCGAGTCAGGGATGACCTCCACGGGCTCACATGCAAACAAAGGTACTAAAACCTGGCCTGCTGCTCATCCGCTCATTCCAGGTTTCTCAACTCAATCTTCATGAAAAAAGCCTGCCCACCTTTCTCCTGCAAAGCCCCTGGAGGGTTTGAACTGCCAACCTTTTGATTATCAGCACAATGCCTTATGCCCTGTGCCACCAAGGCCCCCACAAGGTATTCAGAGGTCGATTCTCAAAGGCCCCCTCTTCTGAGGCAGCTCAGGATACGCAAACTTGCAGCCTTCTGCCTAAATCCACACCACTGGGCCTCCAACTCCCTGCTGCAGAGCAATCCTGACTCAAGGGGACCCCTGCAGGACAGCCGAGGACAGGAACCTGAAGGATTGCGGAGGGAACCCCACAGGACAGGGAGGGGACCCCTGCAGGACAGCAAGGGCAGCCTGGGTTTCACGGCCACCATCTCTACGAAGCTGCTGGCCCCATCCTCCTGAAGTGCAGCTGTGGGCCCCGGCTGAGCACTCACAGGCCCCATCCCTGACACAGGGCACTGTCACGCGGAGACACACGTGCCACCCTCCCTGCAGTCTCTCCCTGAGAGTGGGGCTGGACGAGACCTTGCCCAGGACACGCTCTCCAGGGGAAGGGCTCCTATGGCTCGGTGCTGCCACTGACACCTCTTCTGGAGGACACACACGGGCAGCGGAGCAAGCAGCAGACCAGTCCTCACACCCCACACTCCACATGTGGCATCCACACGGCCCCTCACAGCGACCCCACGCGTGCTCCCCCAGGCCGCCACCTTTGTGGAGCTGACCATCTCCTGGCCCTCGACCCTGAGCTCAGATCCGTGCATGCCGAGTGCTGTCCTCCAAAGAACTGCCGGCCCGTCCCCTCCGTCCTACGGGATGATGGATGCCAACGCTGTAATGTGCCAGGCCCAACAGCCTTACTTCACAGAGGCACTGGGCCGGTCAGTGCCACACATGGCCCTCCTCTGCCCACTACAGGTCACGCCTGATCTTCGGGGAAGCGCCCCATTCGTCTGTCCAGTGTCATGCCAGCCACGACCTGGGAGCCAAGTGCAGTGAAGGTGCCATGACCCTGACAGCCCTGCTTCAGTCCCTGCCACATGCCCACAGCTCCACCTGCCTCCTGGTCAGTCCTCCACGGCAGATCTCACCACAGCCTCCACGACCCAGCGGGCAGCGCTCCCTGCTGCTTGGGAGGGTCAGCTAGTTCTGCCCACTGTCCCGTGTCTCCCCTCAGCCCGCTTGCCCAAAGCTTGCACGTGGCCCCCAGGGCAGCACACAGGGTCCGGCTGGACACTCGGCCCAGGAGGCGGCACGCGCCAGGGCTGGGAGCCCCGTACCTTGTCGCTGGTGTTGACGTCATCCACCTCCACGGAAAGGTCTTCTTCGATCTCCTCGCCTATACTCATCTCACTTTTTTCTGAGCGGTGGCTGGTGCTGATTTCAGAAGAAAACACAAAGAAACAACTCAACACCGCCGTGCCAGGGAGTAACTGACATTCCTCAGAAGCGCCGTCAGCAGCACTCGAGCTCCCTGCAGCGGCCTCCACGGCGTCAGCCACGCGGGAGGCGCCTGCACAGCGTTCCCCTGGTCACTGGCGGGTGTGAACCCCCCAGAGGGCAGAGAGGGACGACCTGTGGGGGTTATGGGGACAACTCCCTACAGACTACACCCCCAGAGTGCCTGAAGTCTTTAATATGTGGATAGTTAGACCTTCAGATAAAATATTGAATACCATTTATTTCATACATATGATTTCACTTGGTCCTCACAGGAACTCTGCAAAGGTAGGAAGAGCGAGGAGCAGGACAGCTGAGAAGACAGGTGCGCGAGGTGAGCAGTCCCGAAGGCCAGCAGCCCCGACGTGGACAATGCTGCCCGCTGCCCACTCTCAGACAGCAGCAGCTGGTTACCACTCAAAACACCCCCCGAACTCAGGCAGCAGGCAAGTCACACAAACTCTCGGGTGTCCACTCAAATCCCTGGTCCTATGCACAACGGGCAGAGCCACGCCCTTCTAGGAACAGAGCTCCATGTCCACAGCCGGTCCTGGCAGCTCCGACACACTGGGACCTCCTCTTGTAAGAGGTGGACAATGGACAAGGACGAGAGAAGTGGTGATTTGGGCTGTGGTGTTGGGGAAGATAGTTTATCTCACAAACTGCCGACAGAACACACAGGTACATCTGTACAAAGTGCGGCCAGAGCCCCTGGGACCCACGATGAGGAAGCTTCGCCTCACACACTCGAGGCGTGCTGTCAGAGGATGGACATCATGCTTGGAAAGGTGGAGGGTCAGTGAAAGACCCTCAACCAGGTGGACACAGTGACTGCAGCAGTGTGCGCTGTGTCAGCGAGGAGGCGGTGGCCCAGGCCCGCACAGGGTTCAGATCTGCCGTCCACAGGGTCACTCTGAGTCATACTCGACAGCACTGAACACAGCACCTTCGTCATCCAACCGTCGTCTGAGGGAAGGCACGAGGATACCAGCACTGTCCGAGCCATCCACACACACAATCGCCTACCGCTCAACAAGAGGGCCTGGGTGTCACAAAGCTGACTGCCGTGAGGTTCTCTGCGGCCCCTCAGTGTCCTGGCAGCCAATGTACAGACGCATCTCCGTCACTTCTCTTTGCGTGAGCAGCTAGCAGCAGTGGCTCTGGGCTTCTCACCATGTCACCATCCTCGGTGTGGCTTCCAGACGCGCCAGGCCGCACCCCGGCTCCGCTGCACTCTCTGCCCCTCGGCCCTCACATCTCTGCTCTCCAGTCGGCGTCATCAACACGCTCACAGAGACGCTTCCTCAGGAGGCAGGAGTGCAGGGCAGAGGTGCCTCACAAGCTAAGCATCACTGGCTTTAACCAGGACTGTGGAATCGCTTCATGTCAATGCTCAAAAGCCGCCTTCCGGCATGGAGTGCTGGGCTCCCTCTGGTCTCGGCATGGCCAGTGAGGTTGGCTCCCAATAGGAATCTGAAGCCCTTCTCCTCAATGTTCCTCCCTGGATTCAGATCTGGTTAACTGGGACCTATCTAATTCTTCTAATCTTGAGACAACAGGAGGTGCAGTTAGTTCAGAGGTCATTTCCACCAAAATCAACCCGTGCCCAAGATGGTTCTGATTCTAGATCAGGTTTCCAAGACTGAAAATCTTCATGCAGCTTGTCAGAGCCACTTGCTGGATTCAAGCCGGCAACCTGGTGGTTGGCATCTGCTTCCCAAACCACCAACACGCTCGCTGCCTGGAGTCCTTCCTGCTGCTGCCGGTGGTTGCTGGTCAACGTCTGAGCGTTGCTCATCAGCCTACAGGCTTCACCCACTCGCAGGGTCCTAGAGCGGTGGCCCTACAAACCACTGGCCAGCGCGCTGGACCGACCACTGGCCAGGCCCCTGAAGACGGACAGGAAACCCAGTTCCACCAGGTGTTTCTTTGTGGTGAGATTATTGATGGGTATTGCCCACTGCTATAATCTTTGGCTATTTTTACTATAAAATGTAGCAATTTGTCATATCCCTCTATTTTGAAAAACTTTTTTCCGCACAACTCAGTGACATCAGTCCAACAGTCAACTATCACACTCAGGACGCCCAAGATCCCATCAGGACAGACAGCATTTCTGCAGCACTGATGCTGGTGGGTTTTCTGTTGTGTTCTGGACAGCATTACCTGTCCTGGGACTGCCCTAGTTCACTCAGTGGGACGCCGTCGAGGCCTGACACGCTGGAGCACGCACTGGGGTTTCATGGAGAGGTAACACTCTAGTGGACGGGAGACCAACAGACAGCTCACACAGGGCGCACACACTCATCGATGCCGCAGTGAACACGGGCGGTGTGGGCCCGCTCAGCCTCGAGGCATCGCCCATCGCCCACAGCTGCTTGGTGCTGGCTCACCAGTGTCTGTCTGCTCTGGAGGTGGGGCGAGCTCTCAGGCCTTCCAGGGTCGTATGAGAAGTGGTTTTTGGATCGGGCTGTTCTACTGCTCACACCTACTGCAGACAAGAGATTACTAGAGGAGAGACTGAGGCTGTGAGCAATTACAGCTTGCTCGGCTCCACAATCAGCAGTCAGGAAATCAAAAGACGAATTGCACTGGGAAAATCTGCTGTCAGGGACCTCTCCACAGTGCTGAAGAGCAACGATGTCAGTCTAGAGACTAAGGTGCACCTAGTCCAGGGCATCCATGGTCTTCTTTGTTATGCTTCAGAGAGCTGGAAAATGACTAAGGATGACAGAAGAATTGTGGTGCTAGAGAAGGTTCTCGAAAACAAACAGGTCTGTCTGTCTTGGAGAGGGTGAAACCAAGTATCTCTTTGTAGGTTAGGATTTTGAAGCTCCCATCTCGCTTCCTTTGGGCACGTGGCCAGGAGAGACTAGTCCTAGAAGGATATCCTGCTTGGAAGGGTACCCTGTATGACATGGATCGATACAGGAACTGGGGGCAAGGGGGGTAGGTGTGTTGGAATTAGTGAGACGGCTCAGGACAGGGCCAGGTTCAGAGATGCTGTACACAGGGTCGCTATGGGTCACAGGAGACTTGATGGCATATTAACCCCTGCAGACATCAGACCTTCGTCAGGCAGGGCCCCAGTCTGCAGGTCTCACTGCTGATGAACAGTGTTTTCTTTTCATGAGGCCCCGAGGTTATTTCATCTTCTCAACAGAGAAGTCCAAGAGCCACTTATTTGAGAGCACGGCCCGGTTCCTGTGTCTTCTTCTGGATTTAGAGTCTGAACTTTAACGTTTAGGTCTTTGGTCATTCTGGGTTCCTTTAACTGTGAGGTGTGAGGTCTGGTTCCCACTTCAATGCTCTGCACGTGGAAACCCAACAGTGCCAGCGGCTCTGCTGAAAACACCCTTGCTCCCCCGGAACAGCCTGTGCTCCCTTGTTTAAGAGTCCCAGGCTGCAGAGCGCCCGTTTCCTTCTGGTTCCTTCTGTCCTCCATCCACCTGTCTGGTCTGGGCCCACACCGGGCCCTGCCGATCCCTGCTGTTGCCCAGCAAGCTTTGTAAGCAGACGTGTGCGGCCTCCTCCTCCACTCGTCTCCGATGCTGTAGACTTCCCTTCCAAGGGGCTGCGGCTGGTGGGCAGGTGGGCTTCGCGCAGGGCTGCGTGGGGCGTACTGACAGCTGTAGGTAGTACTAAGGCCTAATCCATGAGTGTCCACCAGCTTCCCATTCCTTTCCCTTATGTAGGTCTAGGTTCCTCTCTTCAGTCCTCACTCACAGGCTGATCGCTGTGCAGGGACGGCTTTATTTCCTTCTTAGACCTCTCTCCTTGTACAGAAACCCTCGAGGGTTTACTGCCTTACTGCCCTGGCTGGGACGTGCAGACCTCAGCGAGCAGGGGGGTGGCGGCAGGCCCTGGCTCGCCCCTGCTCTCAGGAGGGCTCTCCTGTCCCCTGCTCAGTGGAAGGCTGGCAGCTGGAGGTCTTCACAGATGCCCTAAGGTCAAGTACAAGGGATGTCACCTCTCTTTGCGCACTGTGGAAACTGTTTATTATGAAAGAACATATTCTTTATGACTGTAACAAGATTCTCCAAAATCTATTTAGAAATAGATGGCAGTGAGGCGAGACTCAGATGTTGACGTATGGTGACAGTCGTTTACATTATGCTGAGGCAGCGTTAGTTGAGAAAAATAAAAAAAGCAATGTCACTTGTTTCAGACGAAATGAAATGAGGGCATCCTGAAAAGCTGCAGGTGGAAGATTCCAAAGCAAAGAGAGGAAGGCAGGAGAGAGAGCTGCGTGTGAGAGCCCCTGGCGCTGGATTTATCATTGTTTACCAAGCTCAGGGCAGACATCTATTTTCTAATATAAACTGAACACAGGCTCCTAAACCAAGAGTCTAATTTGAGGTTCACTCCAAACTCCACAGCTGCTGGGCTGGCATCAGCTCCAAGCTGGCCCTCCCGTGGACGTTCGGAGGCCATAAATGACCCCGGAAGAGACTGCCCACCTTGCTCACTTGGAGCTGCTGGTGGTTTTGAACAACCAGAGATGCTGTCTTCAGGTCAGCAGCACAAGGCCCTAGGGACCATGCCACCGGAGCTCCCTAATCCCAGGTTAACCACCTCACAATCTGAAAAACAGTATCAAAACCACTAACACAGACACCAGCAAATGTCTCCTTTCTTGAGTTCTGATACTGGTTCAACATGTGCATGTGCGGCCCCTCAGGTCTCCTTACCTGTTAAAGTCATCAGCATAATCATCTTCTTCCCCAGACCCTGGTGAAGTAAGAGAAGGGAGGTCAGTTTAAATGCACACACATTCCATGACGCAGCTACCGCTAGACACGTCCCTCGGCCTCCAGAACAACCATGGGACTGAGGTCCGCGGCAGGACTGAGAAGATCAGAGACAACACTGGCGAGGAACTGCACTGTAATCCCAAAGGCACATGGTTCAAATCCACCAGCTGCTCTGCAGAAGGACGGGCAATCTCCGCCCATGCGATTAACCCGCTTCTGAAAACCCACTGGAGGGCCAGCTAGAGGTCAGTTCTGACTTGATGGTACACAACAACCACAGTGAATGAAAAGGACAGGTAATGGGCTTTTCGAAGTCATTAAAAGCCCAAGTGAACCTGTCCTGAGTCGATTCTGACTCAGCCTGGTGGACGCAGTGTCCTGACAATGCAGTTAGCACCAAGTCTCTCATTCCAGGTGCTCAGTGGGAACACTTTCAACTGGACCATCCTCCACTCCTAACTTCCCTTTACAGCAGAGCTCAGCTCCCAACAGGAGCAGGAGAATAAAGGGTCAGTCTCTGGATGGATTGACCGAGGCAGAAAGCAAGCCATCATACAGAAAGCAGAGAGAGAGGCAACTCTCAGGGTCAGTTAGACTCCTGGCTCTGGCCCCTCAGTTCCCATGCTGGGCCAAGTCAGACATCCCACACTGAGACTCAGGAGACCAGCCCCTCTGAGTACAAGACTGTGCCTGATGAGTGGTCAGGTTCCGAGTATCTGAGAGTGGGCCCCTGGAATAGCTGCAGGGCCCAGACCAGGCCAGACTGGGGGCCACCAGGCTTGAGGAGACGCAGACAATGGCAGCGCCATGCAATGTGGAGACCCCTGGCCTATGTGTGGGCACGAAGAAGGCAATTTAGGCTTCTAAAGAGGGATCCCTGGAGCGACAGGAGCCAAAGACTGGAAGGACGTTCAGGTCAGATCGACAGGACATCAGAAGAAGCAACTCTCCTACGTAAAACCTCCTCAGAGTCACCCCAGGAGTTTATCAACACGTGCGTGACCAGTCATTAGATGCAGGTACTATCCACTCCATCTGGGGACTGAATGATGGAAAAGATGACCTCAGTGACCTCAGCGGCTAACAGCACAGGGTGAGGAGGAGGGGCAGACGGCACGGGACGAGGCCAGCCCTAGACATCTGATAGAGGTGGGAGGTGTGGCCACAGCACAGAAGGCAGGGTGACCGCAGAACGCAGGATGGAGCAGTGGCCAGGCTGTTCAAGGCCACGTAGGTCATGAGCACAGAGAGGGGGTGAAGGAGACAGGACGGGAAACGTGGTTTCCATCTCCCCACACACGGTCGGACCACAAAAACAATCCATGTGCTCAGAGGCCACAAGTCAAAGGAAAAGCATAAACGGTCACTGGAGAGGCCCAGCTGGGGTGGGTCTGGACAGGGAGTGTCCCACAGGCGGCCAGAGTCTCTGACTGGACTGCCCCTTGTCTTCCTCCCTCACGGGGGCTGGAGTACTCCTCCTTGGCGGCGTGTCAGAGCAAAGGAAGACCGAGGCGGGTGATCCCCGAGTGTAGGAACAGCTGCCCCGGGCACCCCTGGATCTGCCTGTGTGAGCTCCCCCACACAGACTGTGGGGAGAGGCAGGGCCTGCAGCAGGGCACCCGTCCTGAGGGCCACAGCACCTGGCAGGGGACGCACCCACCAGGACAGCCACCTCCACACGGCTGCCACCCCAGCCCACAGGCGTGCTCTACGGGGCACACACGTCAGCCAGCTGACAGGAAGGGCTCCATGAGGACCCGTCCGCTGAGCCCACAGCCACCAGCCCTCAAGCGGGGCACCTACTCACCCAGACCAAGGGAACCAATTTTCTCACTGACTAACTTCAGATCTCTCAAAACTGCGTTTCCCTTTTTACCTGTGAAGAGGAAAAAATAACATACTAATAGCTTATATAGAACATATGCTTTTTAAGTGTGTCAGTTGTTTTTAAAGAAGAGGGTATTTTTAGAATACGATTGAAGCATAATATCTAAAACTAAGAACAATCCCTGGTATCTGAGTCCGTGATACTATGGTCTTGTCGCTGCTTCCTAGACCCCTGAAGGTTGGGTAATGCGTAAGGACAGAGGCGGCCTCGCCGTCTCTGTACTGTGGCGGTGGCACTGAGGACACCACGCACCACCAAAAGAAGGCATGTGTCCTGGAGGAAGTGGGGCTCAGATGCGCCCGACAGGAGAGGAGGGTGAGAGCTCACGCACTCGGGGCATGAAGAGCTGAGCCCTCACTGGGCCCCAGGCTGCTTCGCTGGGGAACACCGTCACAGACAGGCCCAAGCACACAGCGTGTTGGCTGACCTCAAAGGCCACCGGGACACTTACTGTCAGGGTCCTTCAAGGATGGGGCTCCCACCAGGGAGCTGAGCCCGCTCTTCAGGGGGGGTGCGTCTGAGAGGGTTGCCAGGCTGCTGCCCTGCTTGCCGGGTTCGCCTCTCCTAAGGGACAAAGGGAAGACGGGGCCTGAGCACAGCGGCCTCAGGACATCCTCGAGTCTGCAGCGGTTTGGTCCAGCCCTGCGCTCCACCTCACGCCTGGCTTCCTTGTCATCACTGGCCAGCAGGGCCGTTCCCACTCGGAGATCATCCTGCAACTCATTTAATCCATTTCTCAGTCTACACTGCAGTCTTGTGTGTCCTGCAGCCTGGAGTCTTCCCTCCTCGGGAACGCTGACCGGACATCACCCCCACCTCGTGTGCAGTGACAGGATTCCGTCCTCTGTGCGTCACTGCAGCCCCACGGGCCGCAGCCCTCTCTCACACACCAGTGAACAGGCGAGGCCGTGAAGGGTGGGGAGCGAGGCCGCCAGCCCTTCCCCGCAAACTCTGCCCCTGGGGGAGGCGTTGAGTCTGCCTGCTGTTAGGTGCCGTCCTCGGCTCACAGTACGCACGCCGTGGTGCTGCGCCTTCTCACGTGACGGCTGCCTCCCAGCCCGCGGTGCAGCCTGTGGCGATCACTGCTAGTCTGCCTCGTGTTGTGCTGGGGTGGCTGGTGTGTGGCTGTGATGACTGTGATGTATTTCAAGTGACAGCAAGGTCACCCACAGGGGACAGGTTTCACCGCACACCGTATCTATGAGAACACAGGCCCAGCAGCTGGTGTCCAGCTAAGTGCCACCCCCTGGGAGGAAGGAAACACTTCATGCTCGAGCCTAGGACGGCAGAGCCCCTCCTCACCACGGCCTCTCACACGCCCACAGGGCACGCCATCGTCGCATCCCTGGTTCCTCCCAACTGCATGTGGATCTGAGCGAGTTCCACGCTCTGCGGGGCTCCAGTGGGCTCCTTGAGCAGAACGCTGGGGATGCAGGCTAGCTTGTCCCCAGTCCGTCTCAGTCTGGAAGGACTGCTGCAATCTGCCCACCACAGTGGCCCTGCTCATATATTATACCTATCAGCAACCTAAGGTCTGCAGGGCAGCTACACACACAGCCTCCAACACCCACTGGTGGCCGGGCTATGACAGCACACCTGTCCCAGGCCACCTGCCTCCTGAGGAGCAGCAGGTGGCTCCCACTGCTGACCCTCCAGTTAGGAGCCTCACACTCTCCTTCGACCCCACCTGGCCTCCTTCAGCACACAAAGGAACCGGGACAGACTGGGAGACGGGCAGTGACAGTACAGACTGACTCACTGCAGCAGTTCACGCCTCACTTCCTAACCTGAAATTATCTTATAAAATAAAAGGCACAGAATCAGACCTATGCACTCTACAGTTTTAAATTAAAATATTCAGAAACGACTGTTTTTAAAGTCTCAATTATCAGACTCGCTCAATGCAGAGTCCACTCACCAACCATACGTCTTGTCTGGTTTGGGGATGGGGTCATCGAAGAAAGAGTCGCCGTCCAAGTCGTCTTCATCGGGACAAAGACCAGCTTTGTTTTCGATGTCTAAGGACTTGGTGCTTAAGAGAGACCCAGGCTTTGTCTCATGGGCCAGGAAGTGGCGACCACTTGGGCTCTTGGGGTCCGAGGAGGAGGCACATGTGCCGCTCTGGCTCTTCGGACCGGGCTTTGAGAGAGAAGGTGAGAGACGGTGGTCAGGTAGCGGCACTGGCCGCCTCAAGCTCAGCGACGACCAAGCACACGGGGACAGCTCCTGCCTGTCCTGTTCCAGCGGCACGCCCGGCGAGCCCAGGTGACCAGCTCACCGTGGGCACCACGGCATGGACTCGGGAGAGGGAGCGGCACAACGGCTCTCCGAGTTCCTATCCCCTCCCTGGGCGGAAACACCTGCACTGTCTCTGGTATAAAGCGTCCTATCTGTGGGCTGCAGCCCGTTCTCTCTTGGGTGCCACTGCTTCATAAACTGCCGTTTTAAATTTGAAAACACAACAGGACAGTGACATCATATAAATCAACGAATGAGGCACTAAAACGCCCACTACTGGGACGTATGTTAACCAGTGCCTGTCGAGCCCCAAATACGAGAGGCATCAGAGTGGAGGAGAGGTCCGGTTCCAATCCAGACCTTCACTGAGCATCCCTGGGCGGGGATGTCAGCACAGAACCCAGGCTGCTTCCTGTTTTCGGGTCACTCCAGGCCTTGCAGCCTGATTTCATTGTGCCCTCACACCTGCCTGGTTCAACAACAAAGTGGCTAATATTCACCGAGTGTTCAAATGCTTCAGAGCAGCTACTGCACACAGTCCTCAAACAACCCTCCAGGACGGAGTTGTACCTTACTGTCTCTAGAGAGAGGAAAATGAGACAGAAATTCAAGTTGCCTGTCAAGACCACCAATTAAGTAAGCATCAGAGGCCCTATCAGATCAAAGTCTGTCCTAGAGGTAACCTCTGAATCTGTGTGCTGTACAAGCAAGTCATGTCACCTGAACGGCTGGGCTTCTGCAGGTTAAACATGTAATTCTCTAAGACTCAGATCTAAATACCACAGGAACAGTACTGAATGATGCACATGAGGTCTAGCAGGAAAAATAAACAAGCAAACTACAATTCTTTCTCTATTTTTACCATTAACAAAATACTTTTTAAAAACTTTCCTAAGCATGAGTTCTTGCAAGAATCAGATTGTTGTTGTCGTCATGTGTCGTCAAGTCTCCCGTGACTCAACAGCCCTAAACCCTGCTCTATCCTGTGCCAATCTTAATGTATCCGACACACATACCCCCATTACCCCAGTGACAGAATCAATCCATCTTATCGAGGGTCTTCCTCTCCAGCGCAGTCCCTCTTCAAGGACTGATCCCTCCTTGCAACATGTCCAAAGTATGTCAGACGGAGCTTCAGAATCCTTGCCTCCAAGGAACAGCCTAGTCTCACCTTCTCTAGGACAAACCTGTTTGTTCTCCTAGCAATCCATGGTATATTCAATACTCTTCACAGCTCAAAGGTTATCTATTCTCTTTCTATCATCCTTAGTCATCATCCAGATTTCTGACAAAGCAAGTAACTGTGAAGACTATGGCCTGGATCAGGCGCACCTTAGTCTCCAGACTGACATCATTGCTTTTCAGTATTCTGGAGAGGTCCCTGACAGCAGACTTTCCCAATGCAATTTGTCTTTTGATTTCCTGGCTGCTGTTACCAAAAGAATCAAATTAGATTACTATTTTCCAAATAAAATAACTGGTTATGAAAGAAGGGGCAGATAGTTGGGAAGACTTAACAATATCAAAAGCAGAACAAGAAAAATGTGGGTTAAAAGTTATCAAACAAAAGGAACAACAAGTTTGTAAAATATTATATAAGATGGGAGAGGCTGGAGAGCATTACGGTGAGTGAACTAACTCAGCCTCCTAAGGACAAATACTGCCTAAGACCGTCACCATAAAAAGAGAAGGGACACTGAGCAAGATGGGGGTGGGGAGTGAGGACGGGGGAAGCAAAGGGGAAGGGGAGTCACAAGGAGAGGACAGTGAGTGAGCTAAGGGCAGTGAGGGAATTGCAGAGACACAATGTGGATTAAGAACAGGGACTAACAGTAGGCATAAATCAACAATAATTAACTAGATAAAAAAACCATCAGGAATGATAGAATGAAAAGTAAATGAAAGATTGTATAAAATATAATACACATGAAAGAAACACAATGTAAATGAATTACTGTATGCTAACCAATAAAGATATCAGAAAGAAGCATCACATAAGATACTCTCAAAGGTTTATTTCAATTGTCCCCCCTTGCTGTGTACCCTGGGATCTGACCCGACTGGCACAGGAGGAGGCTGCCCCTTCGTCTCCAGCAGAACATCTGGGAGATTTGAACTACATGCCTTTGGGATTGCAATGCAGCTTCTTGCCACCAGGCCACAAGAGTGCCCTGGTTTATTTCACTTTTTACACGTTGCTGCACACTTTTAAATTGACAACTGTGCTTAGAAACACATTTTGCCGTCATTTGTGGCAATGTGTTAAGCAGCACACTGGTCTATCCTGGGGAAGTGCCCCAGGCTGCCCCTCAGAGGCCACGAGGTGACACCTGGCCTCGCATACTTCAGGTGTGCTGTCAGGAAAGGCCCGTCCTGGAGACAGACGTCAGGCTAGGAAAAATGGAGCGTCAAGAAGAGAGACCTTGAACGAGATGGACACACACAGTGGCTGTAACACTGCGCTCCAGCCGTGAGGAGACCGTGAGGACGACACAGGACAGAGCGGGTACAGATCGGTTGTTCACAGGGTCACTGGGGGTCACAGTCAACTCCATCTAACGACGACGGCGTACGGGACACCTATCAGGTGTCCTCAGTAAATGATCCACACCGAGTTTAGGGCCTTGTAATTCAACAGCAACCAACGACCTGCTCATACTTCACATCATCACCCCAAGGGACCCGTGGTCTCACGGAGCTCTCTGAGCCATGTGTCATCATAGCCGGAGCTTGTTAACTCTATTAACGGATCAATGACTGCGAAGAAAGAGACCTGCAAAAAGAAACATCAAGTTACCATCTTGCCAAAGTGGGAGAAAACAAGGCACGGGGCGAAGGACCTTGAACGTCTTTCTGAACGGGCCAGAGGAGTGAGAATAACACAGCCTCCCACTGTCCAGAACAGAAGGCGGGCAGAGAGCCAGGAGCCCAGCCCCACGGTGTCTGTGGAGCCCCACCAGCACCAAGAGGTTCAGTCAGTCGTTGCTGAGTCTACTGACAGTAATGGTACCAACGACACAGTCTACTAGTGATGCAAGTCGGAGAGTGGGCGAGGCAGAGAATAACAATGCAAATCCAAGTGTAGGCTTTAGCCCAACAGTCCCAAGGCACCATCCCTCAATAAATCCAGGCTCTGGTTTCAGTTCAGCAGTCAAATCCAAATCATCCAGCTAGGTTTGTCTCGGAGCAGTTTCAGTCAGCTTCACCTTCAAGCCTCTGGTAGAAACAGCCAAATCTTCACCTGCGGCCAGCACAAATGCAAGAAGCCTCAGGTCACACCTTGCCACCTTTTGTCCACAGAGACACCACAGTGGCTCCACCACCAGGGTCTTGCTGCTTCAAGTCTCAATGCTCAGTGTGTGAAGCCTTCTTTCTCTCATCCTAGTTCCACAGCTGATGCTGATATACAAGACCATGTGTATACAGTTAAGGTAGCTAGAGACCAGAAGGGGCTAACTAACGGCTAAAAAAGCCAACTTTAAGGCTCATACCCCACATCCTTTTAGACAGCATATGAGATAGTCAAATGAATTTTGAAACCAGCTTCCCAACAACTGCCTTGGCACATCCCGTCACTATCAAACATCTAGGAGCACCACCTTATCAAAACACAATCTGTCTTTCCTTCTGCATGCAGTAACCTGCAGGGTGCAGACAACCCTGCTTGCTCAAAGTAAGGTGGACGTCAACCGTTTGCTGCAGAAGATCAAAGACTTTCAATACAGACTGCATCTCGAGGTCTAGAAAAACAAAAATTCTCACCACTGAGACAATAGGCAAATTCTCAAATTCATCTCACTTGGATCCACAATAAACAAACTTGGCACCAACAGTCAGGAGATGAAAAGCATATTTGCACTGGCAAAGTACTGAGGAGCAATGATGTTAGTTTGAAGACTAAGGTGCACTTGATTTAGACCATGGTCTTTTCAATCACTTGCTATGCTGCTGAGAGATGGACCATGAATAAAGATGACAAAATCATTCCCGAGGCCTTTGAGCTGCGGTGTGGGGGGAGAGTATCCCATGGACTATCAGAACAACAGCTCTGTCTTGGAGAAGGCGCAGTCAGAGTGCTCCCTGGAGGCAAGGAGCACAGCACTAGGAGAGCCTATTCCTTGCAGAACATCATGCATGGCAATTGGAAAGGTAGAGGGGCAGCAAAGGGGAGGAAGACCCTCAATCAGGTGGACTGACACAGTGACTACAGCAATGGACACAAATGCCAGAGGTGAGGATAAGAGGCTAGGACAGAGGTCACGTCTGGTATTCACAGGGTCACCATGAGTCATACTTGACAGCATTTAACAGTGTAACAATAATATCTCATTTTCCTTTAAATTCATGCTGTCATAGCAGATTAACAGCCTCCCAAAGGTTAAGTGCATTTGGAAATAAGTGCTCTAACTACCAGCCCAGCTGAGCCCACAGCTGGGATCGGGACAGATCCACGTTCATGCTGCTCCTGACAAAGGTCGAGAGGACAAGTGGCCTGCAGCAAGGCCATGCTGACGGACAACCTGACTCACGTGGACGGTCCTCTCACAACCAGCAAGGCGCGTGCTGGGGAGCAGGTGGCACTGTTCCGAAGACCAGACCTCTGTTTAATAAACAGCAGTCCTCTCCTCAAGGCAGAGTTCACTTACTCATGTCGGCAAAATAAGCTTTCAAAATACTCATTCTTCTTTGGAAAATCTGCAGGCTTGGGAAGAGAGCATCTGCTGTCAAGGGCCTCTCAAGGTGCACCGGATCCAGGCCACGGCACTTCCACTTGTGTCCTGTGCATCTCAAAGCGAGGACGATGACTACTCACGACAGAGCACAGAGCAGCACCTGCGAGGTGTGTGCCGGAAAAGAGCACTGAATGCCCCACGGGCCAAAAGAACAGAGTGCGCCTGGGAGCAAGTGCGACGACGGCGCTCCTCGGAGGCCAGGATGACAGACCTGCAGCTCACCTCCTTCAGCCATCAGTCAGGAGGGATCAGTTCTCAGGAACAAGACGGAGGGTCACCACAAGGAACGGGCTGTCCTAACGGATGTGAGTGCCTCCAAGACGGCGAGGAGGTGCCGGAGAGGGCAATGTTCACGTCGTTAACTCACAGGGTCGGCTGGAGGACACCGACCAACTACTATCTTCTCTGAGACTGCTCTCCAAATACATTTCTAAATTACATGAGAACGCTGCACTTCACAACCATGGCCAATTCTTAATGAAAGGAGTCTCAGCCAACTAGGTTAATTAACAAATTCACTAAGCTTAATTCCAAGTAATCTTTATTTTGTGTGTTGTTATTACGTGCTGTCAAGTCACTTGGGACTCACAGCGAACCTACGTACAGGGCCCCTTCTTGCTCATGGATCACACTTTCCAAGAACTCCTGACCAGTAAGACTGCACGTCACATGGATGTTACATGGTGACGCGCAACACAGCTCTAAAGTCCAGCGTCGCAGCGACTGGCCTCAACCCAGAGCACGCTGCCACGCTCTTCTCGCAGTCTGCTCTCTCACAGGTGCGCCATCGACACACCTGGACTACCGGCTCCCTGTGCAAGGGAGGAGGGGAATTTTTCTTGGACATTTGGTAAGGTGACTTTCCTCAGGTACAAGTTCAAAAACCACTTACTGCTGTGTGGTAATTGGAAGCTGCAGTGGCCTAGGAGGCTAGGAGTTGTGCACTCAACCCAAAGGTGCACAGCTCGAATCTACCAGCTGCTCCAAAGGAGCCTCAGAAAACCATCTGAAGAGTCAGTTCTCCGTCGGCTCCACCCCGACGGCACCACCACAGCAAGAGCGTAGAATTGAGAGCATCTCCTCACTGGAACTCTGGGTGAAGGACAGGCGAGCAGAGGGAGACAGCAGGAAAAGGTCCTGACAGCTCTACGGTGAAAACAAGCTCACACAGCAAACACAGTATTTCGCCATTTTAAAGGTGGAGGTTTTTTCAACTGGGGAAAAAAAGTCTATGTGTAAACGAAAACTCAGAAATCTCACCGCAGTCAAGTTCCATCAGCGTGTCTGTAAACGGTTCTCAGCGGCACTCGGGGCTTCCAGGCACGCCTACCTGAGTTCCTCCAGCAGCAAGACTGAACTCAAAGACCTCCTGGAGGAGACTCAGGCTGGACCTGCGATTCCTCAATCAGAACTCAGCTGGAAAGTTGTTTGATAGTTTCCTCAGACAGAAATCAGTGTTGAGATGTGTGTGGCCTTCCACCTCAAAGGACGGTAAGCATGTTAAGCTTTTCATAACTGCCAACATGCCAGGGACTCCTGCAGGCAGACCTGCAGTGCTGCTGTAAGTCCCCCTGATGACTCTGTCTGGGTAACAGCTCAAAGTCAGATTCCTGGAGCTCGGCACTGGCCGTGGCTCCACGCTGTGGGGTTTCCGGCCCGCAGCCGCGCTTCCTGGGGTGTCTGGGCCCTCACTAGCCTCGTGCTCATGTGCGGTTTACCTGTTCTCTGGCCTTCTGCCCGCTTTTCTTCTTTTTACCTTGTCCTTTATACCTTGGTATCTGAGCACGAGAATAAAATGACATTTTACCACAAATACAAGTCTAAAAAATTAACTTATTACCAAATTAGTACAGTATGTGGAAATCCCCTCACTAATGAGGTCTTCGGGGCCCAGCTTCCGGTCCTTGCTCACCCTGTCACCTCACCCTTCCCCAGTCCCAACAGTCGTCTCATCAGAGGCAGAGGCTGCAGCCTCAGTGCCCAGTGTCTCCATACAGAGGATGCCCACGGGATGGACTGCCCAAGGTCAGGAGTACGACAGGACCCTCTGTTCGTCCACACTGACCATTCCGAGAAGACAGGTAGAGAAAGGGCGGGAAGGACTGGAGCTCCAGGGAATCCACGTCTCACGCAGGCCTTCCCTCGAGCCAGTCCCCTCAGCGGGCAGCATTCCCAAAGGGCCTCCAGTCACCAGTCCGCACACTGAGACCAGTCACTGCTGCCAAGCTACCCTGACTCACAGTGGCCCAGAGGACAGCAGAGCCACAGAGTGACCACAGCCACCCTCCTGTGGGAAGCACGCCCCCTCGTCCTTCTCTCTAGAGCCATCATTCAGGACCGGCCCAGCACTCAACCACTGCACTGCCAGGGCGCCTATGCTGACTCAACGCAACACCATCAAGTCGGAAGCTGACTCACAGCTGACCCTCCAGTGGGTTTTACAGGACAAGACTGCCCATCTTTCTCCTGAGAAGCTGGTGGATTTGAACCATGTGCTTCAGAGCTGACAGCACAGCCACCCACCCTGAGGCCACCAGAGCTCACTGGAAGCCCCAACATGGAAAGACAGCGAGAGGGTCCACCAGGAAGAGAGGGCTGTCTTCTAGAGCGATGACAGCCCATCACCTCCCTGGGAGCATTCCCTCAGCGACCGCAAACACTTCAGGTTCTGTCAGAGTTCTCAGGTCTTTAAAAAGAAACGATGCAGAGAAGGGAACACGAGACACAGCAGTATTTTATCGTAAGTAACACCAAACGTGGAAAACTAACATTCATAATTACTTGTAGAAAATCGCTGATCAGAACTTTCAAACAGCTCCAAATTCACTCTGTCCTCACAAGGATTTGGGGTAAGAGTGCTAAACTCCCCCAAAGCGGGCATTTTCACAAAAATCCAAAGCTCTCATTTCCCCCACAAAGGCTCCCATCTCTGGAAGAAATGGAATGTTGTTTGCTTCACTCATGACTGTGTCCTATGACTGCACCTGCAGACGCCTGTAAAAACCCCCGACTGGACTCCCCAGGGAAGGCCTGCAAGCAGCCTGAAGGGGGACAAGGGGGACAGCACAGTGGTCTCTCTTCTGGAGTAAAAACGGACATTCCTTTGATTTCTCAATTGAAAACATTAACATCAGCACACGACAAGAGTAGGACCTTCTAGTGTTCTCTGACCACCACCCTCGAGTCCATTCTGACCCGGGTGACCCTGCAGGACAGTTTCCCACTACAGAGGCCTCGAGGCACAGACTCCGTTTGGAAGCAGACTGCCCACTTCTCTCCTGTGGAGCAGGTGGCGGGCTCACACCGCTGGCCTCCTGGGCAGCAGCTGCGTGCTCAACCACTGTGCCAGCAAAGCTTCAGGAGTTGGACAAGTGAGCACGACCTCCTCCAAGCTCTTGGGGCTTAAAGAGGTATGACCTTCATGTCTGCGTGACCTTCAGGTCCACAGACGTCTTTGGAGACGGGCTCCCTGGCCTCACTGCTTGCTCCTGGACCGGAGGACATTCCCTGCACGCACACCTGACCACGTAGCTCCACGAAGACCAACAAGCCACCAGCTGCTCCTGCGGCCTCCACTCACTCGACTCTACACTCCAGCCTTCCAGGCTTCTCCTCCCTCCTCACACCAAACCCCAAGTCCCCCCATGAACACAGTCAGAGTCACCAGGATACACAGTGTCTCAACGATCCTCCAAGGAGCTGGCACAGGCGGCAGATAAGGCAGGTGTGCCTGTCATCAGGGCGCCCACGCAGTGACAGCCCAGCAACGCTGGAGGAGCTTCCAAAAGCACGAAACTAACGGGAGGACAAAAGGCCAGCTTTCCAGACACTAAGGAACACTTGTGACAGACAACGGTAGCCTGCGTAAGGAGCTGGAGCCCCTCAGGCGGTCGGAGGGCCTGACTTACCTTACTCGGAACAGTCTGTGAACTTGACTTTGAATCAGGGGATTTCGGTGGAGAATGTACATCAGAGAGCTCTAGGACACCCTGCAAAGTGTCAACGGAAACAGGAATGAGCAGGTGTCCTCGTTCAGTACGTGAGCATCTGAAACCCTCAAGTGTGGAATTTGGTATTCTTTCCAATTCATCTAAATATCTTCACATTTTCCTCATTTAAAAGAAAAAAAAATCACACCAATCACCAAAACCACCATCACCCAGTCCCGCTCACCTGCCCAAGTCATCCCCGTACCCCTGGGATTGTCCTCAGGGCCACCCTGCTGCCACATGTCCTCAGCCACTCCGGTTCCTGCCCCCTACCTCCCTCGTCCCTCTGTGCAGATGGAACTACTCCACACACTGTACCGTCTCCAGGGCCTGTCTTCCTCATCTCACCCCAACCAGCCTAGGCCATGAGCTCCCCGTCACGGCCCGCACGTGGCCCCACGCTCACAGCTGCCAGGCTGGCACAGACCCTCGGCTCAGAGGCAGCGCCCAGAGCAGGAACCCCTGGGCCCAGCGGCAGGTAAAGCATAAACTATGCGGCCTTTAACATGGTCCGTCAGTGTGCCCACTGTGGGTGTGTTAGGGGAGGGGCCCACTGGACCCGCTGCCCACTTAGCTTTGCCCTCATGACAAAAGATTAACGTTCCCAAATCCTGCTACCCAGTCCGTGAAGCTGTTACTGTAATCCCCGCCCTGCGCAATCCCCGGGTGATGCTAACCAGCCAAGAATCAGCAGTCTGAACCCCCTCACAGGTGCCCGGAACGGCCTGGCAACCACCTTCCCAAAGACCAGAGTCGCTGAGACACTGGTCAGACACAACGTCCACGGAGCACGCAGGCGCCAGGGGTCAACAAGCTCTGTCCGTTTCCTCCCTTCCTCACCACTGAGGTGTCGCCTACACTTGTCAGACAGGTGGCAGGTTCTATCCTCTAACACCCTCACATCCCACCTCACCCTTACCAACTGTTCCTCCAGGAAGGGCTCTTTCCCAGGACCTTCACACTGACCCTCAGAGAGCAAACGAACCAACAAAGACACAGCCTGCCCTCCAGGAACTAAGCATCCACCAGGGGCAGGGACGTGAGGCTCCTCCGCCGTCAGACAAGGACGTGCCACCCGGTCAAGGCAGGAGGCGCACAGGGACCATCAAGAGTGGCAGGGGAGGAAGAGAACGAGGACAGAGATCCCACAGACCAGGTCCACTGGGGACAGCAGGAGGCCATGCTGCTGGAGGAGCCCTGCCCTGGGTGACAGCCAGCCGTCAGAGGACATCACTGTGTCCCGGGCCCATGTGAGGACACCAGGAGGCCGTGCTGCTGGGGAAGCCTTGCTGAGGACCCTGGCTGGACACTCACTACAACCAGCCAATGCAGGACACTGTGGTATCACAGAGCTGGAAGCCCATGTGGGGACACAAGCAGGCTATGCTCACTCACCTTCCTGCTGGCCTCAGTTCCCACTGGCCACCCTCACCTCCCACTGCCCTCACTGTCTCACTGCCTTCACTTCCCCAGGCCACACTCACCTCCCCACTGACCACGCTCACCTCCGCAATAACTGCCCTCATCCCCACGCTCATCTCCCCACTACCACGCTCACCTCCTTACTGGCCTCACCTCCCCCTGGCCTCACCTCCTGACATCTCCCCGCTGGCAGTGCTCCCTTCCCTGCTGGCCGTGCTCATCTCCTCACTGGCTGTGCTCACCTCCTCAACGGCCTCACCTCCCCGCTGGCCGTGCTCACCTTCCCATTGGCCTCACCTCCCCGCTGGCCTCGCTCACCTCCCCGCTGGCCGCGCTCATCTCCCTGCTGGCCACACTTTTCTTTTTTTGCTGACAGCACCGAATCACCTCTAGTAGTAGAGGCCCGCCCACTGTGCCCTCAGCTTCGATGATGCCCAGATCTCGGGCCAAGTTCTCTCGACCTTCCAGACCTTGAAACTGGAGAAGACAGACCAGAGTTAAGACCACAGAAGTGAGGCACAAAACCAGGCTGAAGTCAAAGCATCTCTGGGGCTTACAGGCGCCTGTAAACTCAGAAATGAGCACTCCTGTTTAAACCTACCCTCCTGTGCTCACCTCCAAGGGAGCCCTGCAGGCCTAGCGGGGAAGGAGCTGCACTGTCACCCCAAGGCAGGCAGGAGACGGGGGTGGGGGGTCTCCTCCTGCACGATGCACAGCTTCTGAAGGTGACCTGGCGGAGGGCCAGCTCTGGCTTGACCGCACGTCACCACAAACCCACCATGGACAGGGTCAGGGTCCAAACGGGAAAATGGAGAAACTGTTGTCCTGTTTTCACATCATGTATTTATCTGACTTTTCATATCTAAACGAAGATCCTAGACTTAAGACGAGCTGCAATCTAAAGCTGAGACGTCAGCTGTGGATTATTCCCTACAGAACAGAGCGGGGACAGGTGCAAACGTCACAGCAGTGACCAGGGTTCCGCTGTCAGCCCCGGCTCAGGAGCCTGCCCTCTGGGCCTGACCTGGCAGAGGCTGAGGACTGTCCCTCAGGCCACCGGGACCTGATCCAAGGCTGAAGCTGCTGAGCCTCTCCGGCTCAGTCTGAGATGTGGTCAAATGCACACCCCTCTTCCTCACACCCTTTTCTACCATCCAGCAGCAGCTCCGAGTCACGGAGTCTCAGGCCACACCGGAACTGGGAATCCAGAGAGGAGTCCCCCCGCTCGGGGCCTCTGAGGCAGCTGGCCTCAGTGCAAAGGGCAGAGGGCACAGAACAAGGTTCTCACAACTGAGGGGCACTCACACTGTCAGGGGTTGGACAGTCAGGAGGCGAGGAGCAGGGGCTCTGCAGTCCGTTTCCACCACCGGCTGCAGGCGTTTAACGCTCTACAAAGCCGCACTCACGTGAAAGCACCGGGCACCAGCAAGCTTCCAGGCTGTGGTCCCCAAGCAGCAGGGCACGTGCAGGAGGCTGCCGTGTGTCAGAAAGGTGGCCAGGAAGGGGTGGTGCTCCTTCTTACCGTGCTGGTTTCTGGCTGAAAGACGGCCAACGTGAAGTCCAGATTGAAAAACTGAAGAAATTCCGCAACCAGACTGGCCACAAGCCGACCTGTGAGACCCAAAGAGGAAGAGACGGTGGGTAAGCAGGTGCCACTGCTGCCCACTGGGCAGTCAGCACTCAGGCACATGCAGGTCCCCACTGCCAAGGGTCATCCCTGAACTCAGACCACTGAGGAGCGGGTTATCAGCCCCGCAATGCTGCCTTCTCAGGGGCCCAGCACGGTGGGCATCAGGCCTCACCACCGTCTCGTCTTCTCCTAGGTGTGAGGACTAGTTCACAGACCACCACCACCTGCAACATCTTACCATCCTTTGTATTTAAAAATTTCTTCAGACTCTCGTTGACTAAAGGTGTTTTGTTCTGAAACAGAAACAAATTACATATTTTAAAGATCAGGTATTTGTCCTAAAAACAAACATGAGACATAGATTAAGTTCACTTTCAGGACAATAAAAGTAGGTAATATACTGTCATTAATAAAATGATAGCTGAATCACTGGATAATTGTTCATTATGACAAATTACCTGATACTATTTAATAACTTCCCAGATACCATAGCACAGATATTTGTAATTAACTTCTAAATGTTCTAAACATTACAGAATTGCTTCAGAATGGCATGAACGCCAACTTTCATACACTGTTTACTGCATCAAGTCTATGAAATCCGGCCGCCTGATTCTCAGCTGTGTGCCTCCCACTTTAGCATGCTGCTGTGTGTGTCATCAGGTCAAATCCGCTCCAACTAGCACGACCCTGCGAACGGCAGACCTAGCCCTGCTCAGTCCCGGGCCACCTCATCGCTGCTGTGTGTGTCCACTCTTGGGGTCACCACGTCAGTCCTCTTCCTGGAGGGTCCCCACCTTCTGCTGACACAGGTCCTTCCTGATAACACGTTCACACTCCAGTAAGCAGGCCTCCAGCCTCACTTCCAGTGGCATTGGGGCTGGACTTCTAAGACAAACTTGGTCGTTCGCCTCGCAGTCCAGGGTCCGCTCAATCGTCTTTGCCAATGATGTAATTCAAAGGGGTCCCGTCGTCTCTGCTCTTTTTAGTCATCGTCCAGCTTTCATTAACAGACGAGGTACCGGAAAACACCAATGCTTAGGTTCAATGTAGTTACTACGAAGGAAACTGAACTCAGAACTTTCACTTCTCTTCTGCTCAGTTGTACGCAAGATGCTTCTTCACAGACTGGGACAGACACAAGAGCCGCCTGGCACCGGGTGTGATCTCTGCGAGGAGAGGGCGGAGCAGGCAGCACGTGCCAGGCGTCCCTCGGCCGATGAAGAGAAGGCACCCATGCGCACGTGGATGGCGCCAGCCCAGCGTCCAGCCACACCCACACGAGGCAGAGCGTCAGAGGCGTGACCTCCACAGCCGGAGCTTCCCTCCACTGGGATAACACAGTGAACGCCCTGAAGGATGACCGTGGTCACTCTGTCACAGGACCAGGGTGGAATCACCATCACACCAGCGGCAGTGTGCCAGTCTCTTGACGGCGACTTAAGGAGCTGCTCCCACTCCCACGTGTTTTCGGATCAGCATGTAAACGCCCACACATCAGTCTGTTGTCCAGTTGTCCATCCACCTGGGAGAAACGGCATCTTAAAGCTCAGTGTTGTGACACACAAGTGAGGTAAACCGGAAACCCTCCGCTGTGCAGTCGTAACTGGATGACTGGCTGGGCTGCGTTCACCGCCGCATCTTCCCCTGAGGGGCGCTGGCGACCTCCGAGAACAGGCTCGGCTCTGCGCCCGTCGCTGCAGCCTCGTTTCCCTTCGCGGTGTGTTGGAGTTAGCAGCGCTCCTCTTGCTCCTCTGTCACAGAGTGTAGACCCAGGTGTAGTAGACGAGGATGTGTGTCTTCTTCATGCACAGGGCCTCCCACAGCCGCTCACCTTGGCATCACGTGGCCGTTACAGAGAGCAGAGGGACATGCAGGACAGCAACAGCCCTGCACAGACACTGCAGGGGCTCAAGACCGCGGCCTCAACAAACGGCACCGGGGCAGTTCAAAACATGAGACAGAACCGCAGCCTCGCCTTGTACAAAACTCATCCAGAAAGAAAACATCAAGAAAACGTCGAAAATTGCCATGACCCTATGCTGGGCAAAGACTTCGCAGGCCTAGGACCACAGTCCACAGGAGAAAGTGAAGTCAGGAGCGATCAGACGAAGACGTGCTGCTGTCCTACAGACCCTCTCCAGGGAAGCATGAGAAACACGAGGCTGGGAGATGACGCAAAAGTGCTTCAGCCGTAAGAACTCGTGTATTCAGGATATACAGTGAGGAGACAGAATCCAACGGAGAAATGGGCAAAGCAGCTCAAGACATTTCCCAAAACAAAACAGAGAAGCCAACAGAAAGACATTCAGTCCTGTCAGTCCTTGACCCCACCATCCAACTGATTCTGATGCACGGGAACGCTGCAGGACAGACAGCTGTCCCAGGCTCTCAGAGGCTGTCACTGCTTCGCAGACAGACGGCTACAGCACTTCTGCAGTGGGCAGCTGAAGGGCGAAAACTGCTGGCCTCTGTGCTTGATGGTGTAGCCACCAGGAGGCAAGGGCTCCTGTGCCACGTGTTGTTGTTAGGTGCGATCAAGTCAGCTGTGACTCGCCGTCCTCCCATGAACGCCGATCAAGCCCACTGCTGCCGTCACTGTGCCACTCCCGCTCGGTCAGGCTCTCCCTCGCCTTCAGAGACCCTCCACTGTTTCCAGCATGAATCCACAATGAAATCGTATACCTCACCCAGAAAATGCTGGCATAGCTAGAGGAAGCAGCACCCTCACCCACTGCTGTCAGACTGTGAACTGGGCAATCGCCTTGGAAAGACGAGTGGCAGTTTCTGAAGCACACCGACCTCAGTCATCCAGGCACTTCTCTCTCCCAAGGGAAAAAGCACAGAGCCAAGAGAAGACTGACGCAGGAGCGCGCAAAGCCTCCCCTGACAAGAGTGAAACCCTGGAAACCACACAGCAGGCGCTCGGTAAGCCGTGGTGCAGCCACACACTGGAACTTACTCCACGACAGAGGCGCATGGTGACATGACAACACGGAGGAGCCTCGGCTGCACGCTGCCCGGCAGAAGCCAGGCCAGGGAAAGGGACGCCAACAACAGAACCTGAGTGAAGACGGCTTTCTCCTTAGATGAAATGCAGACAGCATTTCACACAGAAGACAAGCCCAACAGACAGGGTGCCGGCAAGGACTGCGGTCGGGCTGTGCAGAGCTGGGATCTGTGAGGTCATCCCCGGGTCAACGGCACAGAGGACAAGAGAACCAGGTCCACAAGTAGAGTGGCAGACTGGCAGCAGGGTGGCCACCAGAGAGAAAGGATGACCTGACACAGGGAGGCGGCACTGGCAAGCAGCAGAAGTGGGCGATGCTGAACAGAGGGAGCACTGCGGGGCTCACACAGGGTGCGTGGGGCCGGGCCCAGGTGTCCACACACACACAGGAGGAAGCTGGTTTGCTCGCTCAATCATTACAACTTTTCCGATCAAATACGGCTGGAGAGCAAGGAAGTGGAAGTCAGGGTCCAGACTGGTCAAGAGGAAGAGGCAGCGGAGAAGAGGGGCTGGATGGCAGGGCCACGCCAGGAGTGGTGAGGCCATGGGGCAGAGGGCAGCTCTGCAGGGTCAAGGCAGGGCCAGAGAGGCCGTGTTCCCCACAGAAAAGCCTTCAAGACGTTTGAAAACAATGTCCAGAGCCTTAACTTGATTCTTGTAGACTTGGCGCAGAGAGAAAACGATAAATCGTGGACTTAAACACAGAGAAGGGATGGGACTTCTGAGCCAGACAGATCAGCGGAGGACTCAGGTGAAAGGAGAAAGCAGCCTTCTCTATTACAGCCCCATGAGAATTCACGGAGCACGTGGGCACATTACAGGTCTGCAGAGCCCGCAGCAGAGACATCACCAACACGGAGCCAGGCCTTCAAGGACCCGCATGGCCAAGGTCTCAGGTGGCCTGCAGGAAAGGGAAGGACCCACTGAGGTTCAGGGCTGGCCCTGTGGTCTCGGGAAGCCTCTGGGGACGGGAAGGACCCGCAGCTGGCCTCTGAGAGCTGCTCAGCTTGACTTTCCTCGTTTCACTCCCAAGTTCTGAAACATACACAAAGGAGAGTAATGTTGTCTCTAAAAACCCCAAAGCACCCTCAGTCACCGTCCTCCGTCAGTTTGTAGGAGGGAGGTGGTGGCATGTGTTTTCCTGTGATGCTGGTGGCTCTGCCACGGTTCTTCCAACACCAGCAGGTCAGTCCTGGTTCAGTGGAGCTTCCAGACTGACTAACGGGGAAGCAGGCCCGCTCAGCCTCTGCTAATGTGGTGGGGCCCTGAAAACCCTGCAGGTCAGAACGTGAAACCGAACGCAGCAGGACCAGGTGACAGTCTAGTACATGCAGGGTCCCCAGAGCCGGCCGACCCGACAGCAGCGGACTACCCTGCATACACTCTGCCGGAAACAGATGTAAACAGGGAGATTGTGGTCACATCAAAACGGACAAGGGCCATACCTCTACTTTTTCTTGTTCTTCTAGTGCCAAAAACACAGCTGCTCGAAGTTCAGCCTTTTAAAAAAAAAACACAAAAAACACACACGTTTATAAGAGCAGTAATCATTTCAAGATCATTCTCATGACAAGAATTCTGATAATTCTTTTTTTTTTAATTGAGATTTTAATGAATGTTTATGAAGAACTTGGGTTTCCAATCCTTCATTGTTGCACATTTTCCTCCCCGTCCCCTCATCCCCCAGACTGCTTTTTTCTTTGGGAAAAAAAGTTCTTTCATTGTTATACCATCCCCCACCCAGACCACTTTACTTTGCCGCTCTCATTCTAGACTCTTGTCATGCCAATTAATACCTAATCATGTTGTTGTTGTTCTTATGTGCCATCGAGTCGTTTGCGACTCACATCGACCCTATGTACAAGATCCCTAAACGCCATTCTATCCTGTGCCAACCTCCCGTCTCAAACACACTCATTCCCACCACTCCACTCACAGAATCAATCCATCTCATCGAGGGTCTTCCTCTCCTGTGCCGTCCCTCCACTCTCCCAAACATGATGTCCCTCTCCAAGGACCAGTCCCTCCTTGCAACATGCCCACAGTATGTCAGATGAAGCCTCAGAATCCTTGACTCCAAGGAGCATTCTGGCTTCACCCTCTCCAGGACAAACCTGTTTGTTCTCCTAGCAGTCCATGTATTCAACACTCTTGTCCAGCACTATAGCTCAAAGGCATCAATCCTCTTTCTATCCTCCCTAATCATATATTCCTTTTATACAGTTCTTTCCCACGTCTGTTCAAGGTTGTGCAGATTATTTATCCCTTCTTTAATTTCCCCCCAGCCCTCATGTCAGCCTTGTTTTCTAACAGTGGCACCATGCAGTATTTGTGCTTTCGTGACTGATATATTTAACTTAGCATAATGTCCTCAATGGTCACCCATTTTGAATAATATTGCATGAGTTCTTTGTTTTTCAATGCAGCGTAGTATTCCATTGTGTAAATATATCACAGCTTCTCTATCCATTTGTTTGCTGATGGGCACTTAGGTTGTTTCCAACTCCTTGCTATTGTGAACAAAGCCATGATAAACATGGGTGTGCACTTTTTTACAACTCCTGGGAGTGTTGCACTGTGAATCCAAATGCCAATCCTCCCTGCAGTTCAAATCCACCAGCGGCTCCACGGGAGAAAGATGGGAATTTCCTCCTGTGCAATACACAGCCTCAGAAACTCAACAAGGGTCAGCTCCGGATCGGTCCAACTCCACAGCAGCAAACTAAGCAGAGTTGATGTAGGGTTGATGAGCTGGAACCTCGTTCCACGGGCACCATCCCCAGTGTCCACCTACGTTGTTGTTATTGTTATGTGCCGTCTACATACCCAGATCCAAACGGGCAGGGCCGAGTTCACCGAGCAAGCCCCAAGGGGACCGGAAGCCAGTCGGGTGTGCGGAGTCCCTCCAATCCTCCGGGCGGCTCCCGCCCTCTGGAACCCCATCCTGACAGCTGCTGCGTCTCACTGTGTCACGTGCTGGGCTGTGACGGCCTCGTGGGGCTGCTCTTCTGGGAGATGCACTAGAATCCGATAGAGCAGCCTGGCTCCCCAGGGTGGACACGTTTCAGCAGCCAGACGAGGAAGCAGGACTGGACCCCCACTTCTCAATCGACGGGCTGGTAAAACCTCACGAGCGGCAGCAGGACACCGTCAGGAGAGGAGCCCTCGGGTTGGAAGCAGCAAACACCAAGTGAGGGAGAGCTGCCTCCTCTCCGTGGAGCGAGCGAGGCAGACACACGCATGGCAAGGCAGACACATGGCGTGGTGCTGCCCAGGACGCGCTCTCAGGAAAGACTCACGCCTGGGCACACAGAGGGCGGGAGAAGCGAGGATGCCTGTCAAGGAGATGGACGCGCAGCGGCTTCTACCGCAGGCTCGAGCACAGGACTGGGCAGGTGTCCCGCTGCTGGACACAGGCTCGCCAGCAGTCAGGGCCAGAGAGGTGGCACCTCTGGGGCACCATGTCCTCCACCAGTGACCAGAACGGCCCCTCCACAGGTTTTCAGAGGCAGCGGATCACACGGGAGGAAGCTGCCCATCTTCTTCCCTCAGGAAGGCTAGTGGGTTCGAACCACATGCCACTGGGTTGGCAGTGCAGTTCTCTACACAGTCTGTTGATGACCAGACAAGTCATCTACTATGCCTCCAGGAGCCTCCTCAAAGCAGAGTCCACCTTCATGGTGTGGATGGACTCGAGGTTGTTCAGACACAGCCTGGCTCAAGATGAGGAGAGACGGCTGCAGGCACCCCTGAGTCATCAGGACATGGACAACAGAGAATGAGACCGGGATCTCAGCAAGCTGTCAAACCCACAGGGACGGATAACGGCTCCTCTCAGTCAATCATACGGTCCACTATGCCAGCAACCAACCAGAGACCAACAGCGTCACATTCCCTGTTAAAAAAGCATTTCAACATCTGTCCTGAAGTATAACGCAGTCAGTGACAGGACATCAGCTTCAAGAAGACAAGAAAGGCCAGGGAATGTGATCTGGCTCCAACGTATGTACTGACATTGATGCCAACGAAGATGAGTATTTATTCACGTTTCTGCAGTCTGAAATTCATCAAAGATGTACTAAGATGCACAGGTAATTATTAGTAACTGAAATAGGAAAGTTGGAAACAAAACGAGCAGAGGGTGGAACATAGGGCCTTGGTGATAAGTGGAGGACTGAACTGTGTCCCCACAACACACGCAGATAATGGTATCTTGTGGAACTCTAGCAATGCCCCCTGATCTGATGGAGCAAACAGCTGTAAAAGGAAGAACACCTATACCCCCATCAAAGCCTGGCCGACATGGACGCTGGGCTAGCGTGGGCCTAACGACTTCCCACCTTACCAGACACAGGAACAAGTGAGCCCAAAAGGGGAGGTCTCAGCACCCCCGGAGAGCACGGTGAGTACCTACTGGACTCAGGCCTCAGCTGTGGAAGCCACGTCACTGGGGATGGCCAACAAATGCCAGACCAGGACGCGCTCAAGGCTCACACACTCACACCCCTCTCTTTCTTTCAATCCTGTAAAGTCCTTGCTGGTTTTCTGAAGCTGTAAATACAACGGGAGGAGACAGTCCAGTCCACCTTTAGCCTTCTCCTCTCCTTCACTGTGAGAACACATTTCTTAAAATCCACAAGTTGTTGCTCTTAAGTGCCATCAAGCCCCACGGACTCACCAAGTCCGTGTGGAGGGCAGTACACCTTGTCCTCTACTGAGCCATGCGCACAACCTCTGTATTTGCAAATCCACTGCTAAGGGTCTTCCTCTCACCCACCACCTGCCTCAGCTTGATGTCTTCTTAGTCCAGAGGCTGGTCCCCCACGACAGCTTGCCCAAAGCACGTGAAACGAAGTCTCACCCTGCCCACCGCCACGGAGCATCCTGGAAGCACTTTCTCCAAGCCAGATCTGTGATTTTGACAGTTCATGGGATACTCAGTGCTCCTCACCAGCCTCAACTCTCTGTCATGCGTATTCTCTGCTCAACTTCACGCACGTATGTTGTTGCTGCTGTTGGGTAACCGTCCAGCAGGTTTTCAGAAGAGTAACGGGCATGGGGGGCGATACCCAGCTTTCTCCTGTGGAGCAGCTGATGGATCTGAACCACAAGAACGTCCTGGCGTGGGGCAGGTGCACCCTAATCTTTACACTGACATCCTTGCTCTTGAGCACTTTGGCGAGGTCCTTGACAGCAGATTTCCCCAAGGCAACATTTCTTTTAATTTCCTGACTGTGGTATCAAAAGTGTGTCATGGTCTCAAGGGCTTACTGTTCAAAATGGCTTTTCTAGCCACTGATGCCTAACTCTGCCACATGGATGGGTGTCTACACGTAAGGGGACAGGTTAGTCCTGCCATTGAGTTGAGTAGATTCAGTGTCAGAAATTAGGAATCTTGACATTAAAGGAACAGGAAGCAGGGGACATCTTGCCTTTGGGGCAAGAGACTCCTGCACTGGCCAGCCTGGGACCTACACAAAAGCCAACAGCAGTCTCAAGAGGGAACCAGAGACCGACATGAGACAGAGCCGGCCTGGGACTGCTGCCCCACAGAGCCAGAGCCCTTCCCCCACGCTTGCTGGAGGACTGAGGGAAGACCACTAACCGGCAGAACCAAGGGAACTTTGTGACACTGACCTAAGCCATGAGGCTAAAGGTCAAGGGGTCTGCAACCACATTTGAGAAGCTGTCTGAACTGAGGGACCGTGTCCTGCCCACACGAATTATGGCCTGTTAATTCCCTAATCAATCCCTGACCGTGCGTATGGCTCTGTGAGGTCTGGGTGGTCCCTGCAGTGGATTTTGGACCAGAGAGCAGTAAGACTGGTGCTGGCCTCAGTCAAGCAGGTACAGGAGTGTGAACGATCCTGTCTGACCTAACAGGAATTGGTTTTGTACTAGAGAGGTTGTTGACCGGGACGGTTCCTCTTCATGGAGTTGGTCGAGTCAGACACACCCTCTTCATGCTGCCGATACGCTTTTCACTGGTGTTCCCCGTGGATTCAGGTAGAATGGAATCCATGACAACTTCGATCTTCATTCACTTGCTGTATACGCCGAGGCAGAGCTGACCCATAGCTGACCTGCGGGTTTTCCTGGGAGGAGATCACCCATCCTTCTCTCCGGGGCAGCCGGTGATCTCGAACTGCGTGCCTTCGGGATGGCAGCACGGCTTCTTGCCTCCAGAGCTCCCTGTATCTCCATTACAGCACACATACCAATACATACGTGACTGGACCAGTGCTGGAAATGGCCCCGCAGAGAACATGACCATTCTCTAAGAACAGAAATCAATCCCCTGCAAACACCTTCTGTACAACATTTACCTGGACCCAGAGGCAGCCCTTCAAGGGTGTTTAATGGTTGCAGCCTTGCTCAGCTTAATCAATCTGAAGGCTTTGCAAATAATCCGAGAGAGTGGACTGCATGAACTGTCCTCCAGGATTAGAGACTCGTGAACCACCTGCCACGGGCAGGGAGAGGGCACAACCCTGCCCGCTGGAAATCAAGGCGGCTGGCAGCACCTGTCCAACATGGCCTGCTGCTCCACGCTGGACCAGCGGGCACCATCCCGGGCCAGCGGGCACCGTCCAGGGGCAGCGGGCACCGTCCCGGGGCAGCGGGCACCGTCCAGGGGCAGCGGGTACCGTCCCGGGGCAGCGGGCACCGTCCAGGGGCAGCGGACACCGTCCAGGGGCAGCGGACACCGTCCAGGGGCAGCGGGCACCGTCCAGGGGCAGCGGACACCGTCCAGGGGCAGCGGGCACCGTCCAGGGGCAGCGGGTACCATCCCAGGGCAGCGGGCACCGTCCAGGGGCAGCGGGCACCGTCCAGGGGTGGGGAGGAAAGGGCTGCGGACACTGTCCACGGGCAGCGGGCACCGTCCAGGGGCAGCGAGCACTATCCTGGGGCGGGGAGGGGAGGGCTGCGGACACTGTCCACGGGCACAGGACACCATCCCGGGGCGGGGACGGGAGGGCACCGGACACCATCCCGGAGCAGCGGGCACGAGCCCCGATGTGTATTGCGCTGAGACGCCCCGAAGTGCGCGAGCGCAGGGAGCAGGCCCAGGTGGCCGAGCGCTGGACAGGGGCTCGGGTGGCCCCCGGGCCGTGGGCGGGAGGAGGGTCTGGACATCCCGTAGGCGCCCGGGACAAGCGGGAGGCGCCTGGAGGCCGGGACGCCGTGGGCAGCCGACGTGAGCACGGTCGGCCCGGAGATGACCCTCAGTGACCGGTGCCCCCAGGGTCCAGCAGCGACGCCCGGAGCGGGGCCCGGCCTGACCTCGGAGCTAACAGCAGCCCTTTGTGACGCCCCGGCCCGCGCCGCCCGCCCACCTTGATCCGGTTCAGGACCCCGTTGTTCTCCAGCGTCTGCACCAGAAGGTCCCGCAGCTCCGTGTCCTCCTCCGCAACCACCGCGGTCGCCGTGGCTGCCATCTTGATCTCCGGGACACCCGCCCAGCTGCCAACGACCAACCGTCGCTGTGGACGGCACGGCGGGGCGGGGCGGTGGCGTGCGCGGCGACGTGGGGCGGGGCCTCGGGCGGCGTGGGGGGGGCCTCGGGGACGTGGGGCGGGACTTCGGGAGACGTGGAGCGGGACGCCGCGGGGCGGGGCGGAGGCTTGCGCAGCGACGTGGGGCGGGGCCCCGGGCGGCATGGGACGGGGCCTCGACAGGCGTGGGGCGGGGCCTCGACAGGCGTGGGGCGGGACTTCGGAAGACGTGGGGCGGGACCTCGGGAGACGTGGGGCGGGGCCTCGAAGCACGCAGCGTTGAGAAGGCGGGGCCTCGACTGTTGGGACGGTTCCTCGGCTTGCGTGGTGACTTGGGGCAGGAAATTCAGCGTTGTGGGAGGGGCCTCGCTGGTAGAACGGAAAGGGGCAGGACCTTCGTGGTGCGTGACTTGGGGCGGGGTGGGGGGGGGGGTCGATGGCCGGGGGCGTGGCCTCGCGTGTGACAGGCTAGAGGCGGGGCCTCTCCTATGGAGCTTCGGGGGGCGTGGCCTGGCGATGTGGAAAAACTCGTGGTCTGAAGCCTGTGCGTGCGGAGAGACGCCCGACGTGGGCCTCGTCCCGAGCAGCGTGCAGGGGCGGGGCCTCTGGCAGGGGGCGGGGCTTGGCTCTCCATTGGAGGAGAATTACAGAGCTCGTGCGCCTGAGGAGCTGCGCATTGGACGGTTCTTGCGGACGTGACGACAAAGGGGTGGGTCTCAGGGGTTGGGGCGGGGAAGGAGAGTGAGGGTGGAGCATGCGCACTACTCGTGTGGCGAGCCTTTTGATGACAGCGATGGATGGTGAGGCCTGGCGCGCGATTGGAGGTGCGCATGGCCGGGGTTCAGGGGAGCCCGGTGACGCGATCGATCGGTAGGCGTTCCTTTGTGCAGCTCTGTGGAGTCTGGGTTCTCCAGCGTCTATGGCACGCGCAACGTGAGCGCAGAAAGTCCCTGCTTGGACAGCCTCCCACCGTGAGCAGGAACAGTTTAACCAGTGCTTGTGTGAAATGTTAAATTTGTCGCTCTGACAGTGTAGGTGAGCACTCTCTGGGAGATGTTTGCTGGACCCAAGTGCTTAGAGGAAAACCATGGCGTGCCAACTCACTTTGCAAGGTACAGCCAAGAAGGGACCGGCCAAACACAATCACGCATGGGGAGATAACTCATCTGTGGATGCTCCCTATACGCAGAGCATATAGGTTCTTGTTGTTAAGTGCCTGCACCTCCTCCAACACAGACGCGCTTGCTGCTTCAGCGGCCCGAGCCTTCAGTTCTCTTCTCCAGCTCCATGCAAGACAGCGATCCGATCCTTCGATCCTTCGTGTTAGCCTCCGTTAAAATCCATGTGTATCTTTCCAGACAGTGTTAACGCACACGGGGTCATGTCAGTTACACACACTTGGACAGTAAATTACTTGAAGCTTGCTCTTGTCTGAAGCAGTTAGATTCTGGATGGTGGGTCGTTTTTATTTGATTAATAGTCAGTTGTGGGCTGTTTGGTCTTATTCATGAACAGTCAGATGTACCCTATTTGGTCATTTTTATTTCATTAACAACCAGCTGTGGACTGGGAGCCTCTTATTTAAACCAACTAGGACCCGGAGCACAGGCCTTTGAGATTAAAAGTTGGCATGCCCTCAGGCCTGGTGTGAAGACTGATTTGCTTTTACAATTACAAACTAAATTGTCATTTTGTTGTGTTTGGGAAGAACATTGTGCTAATTGGAACAACACGTGTCTTTCCATCTGTTGTACTGAGATAACTTGTGAGTTGCTGGGACATTGAAAGCGATGCCACTTATGAGTCAAATGCCACAAGAGTTACCCATGGTGGACATTCATTGACTATGCAAAGGCACTTGACTGTATAGATTACAACAAACTGTAGCTGACTCTGATAAGATTGGGAATCCCAGAACACTTGATTGTGCTTATGCAAAACCTATACTTAAACCAGGAGGCAGTCATCAGGACAGAGCAAGAAACACAGCATGGTTCACAATCAAGAAGGGTGTATGCCAGGGATGTATCCTATCTCCCTATCTTTTCCATCTATATGTGGAACAGAACATCAAGGAAGCTGGGCTGTATCAGGAGGAGTGTGGCGTCAGGATTGGAGGAAGACTCATCAACAGCCTGTCTTACGTAGATGACACAACTTTGCTTGCTAAAACTGAGGAGGGCCTGAAGCATTTGCTGCAGAAGGTCAAGGACTGAAGCCTTCAATATGGATTGAAGCTCAACATCAAGAAGACAAAGATTCTCACCACTGGGCCAATTGGCAGTGTTATGATAGGCAGTGAAGAAATTGCAATTATTAGCAGCTTTAGCTTGCTTGGCTACACAGGTAACACCAGAAGCCATGAAATCAAAAGATAGAATTGCACTGGGAAAAGTTGCTGTCAGGGACCTCTCCAGAGTACTGAAGAGCAACAATGTCAGTCTAGAGACCAAGATGTGCCTGATCCAGGCCATGATCTTCACAATTACTTGGTATGCATCAGACAGCTGGATAATGACTAGGGATGATAGAAGTAGAATCAATGCCTTTGTGTTACGGCGCTGAAGATGAGTGTTGAATATACCATGGACTGCTAAGAGAACTAACAGGTCTGTCCTGAAGAGGGTGAAAACAGGCTGCTCCTTTGAGGCAGGATTTTGAAGCTCCGTCTGACATACTTTGGGCATAGTGCAAGGAGGGACCAGTCCTTGGAGAGGGACATCATGCTTGGGAGTATGGAGGGACAGCGCAGGAGGGGAAGACCCATGATGAGATGCCTTGACTCAGTGACTGGGGTAATGAGAGTAAGTGTATCAGAGATGATGAAGTTAGTGCATGATAGAGCAGAATTCAGAGCTATTGTACATAGTTTTGCTATGAGTTGGAGTCAACTCGATGGCACATAACAACAACAACATCTAGAGCCAAAGAGGAAGAAACTGAATATTTTTACCAAAACTTGCTGTCCTAAGTTGACTGAACATGCAATCAAGAGGCGTTAATGGTGACTGGAATGCAAAGTTGGAAGCAGTGAAGGAATAATAGTGAAAATATGTGCTTGGTGATAGAAGTGAGGCTGGAAATAGAATGATGAAATTTTGTGTTTCCGGTGGTTTATTCACTGCAAATACCTTTTGTAAAAAACATGAACCTCAACTTTGCACCTGATGGGCAGCATAGGAATCAGATTGACTCCATCTGTGGGAGGAATCATAAGAGAAGCTCAGTATCAGCAATCAAAACTAGGCTGGGCAGACTGTGGGACAGACCATCAATTACGCATGTGCAAGTTCAAATTGAGCCCAAAGAAAATTAAAACAAGTCCAAGAGACCCAAAATATGATCTTGAATCTATTCCATCTGAATTTCAAAATAAATCATCATAAGAATAGGTTTGAAGCATTGAACACTAGTGATTGAAGACCAGGTGAGTTGTGGGATGATATAAAGGATATCATCCATGGAGAAAGCAAAAAGCTATTACAAAGACAGAAGAGAAAGAAAATCAAAATGCATGTCAGAAGAAAGTCTGGAAATTTCACTACAGCGTCTAGAAGCCAAATCAAAGGGAAAGCATGCCGAACTAGAAGAACTGAACAGCAGATTTCAAAGGGCAGGTCGAGACGATAAAGCAAAGAATTATAATGGAATGTGCAGAGAGCTGCAGTTAGATAATAAAAAGGGTAGAACTCGCACTGCATTTCTCAAGCTGAGAGAACGGAAGTGTTTTGCTTATTCAGGGTCTCTTTCCTTCCCAAATAAATTTGATAATTTCCCTTTCTATCTCCTTGAAAAATGAACTTGGTATTTGTATTGGGATTGCATTGAACATGTAGATTGCTTTTGGTAGGATTGTCATTTTCACCATAATGAGTCTTCCTCTCCCCTCTCCGCCCCCCTTCTCCCCTCTTCCCCTCTCCCTC